ATAAAAATTATTGTTTGAATACAATAAAATATATTTGATTTAACTATCCGATAAAACAAAAAAAAACAATATGAAATATTCTTCTAATCATTTACTTCAAGATACCTCTCAAGTTTGACTGATGTAATTGTTGTTTGGTGCTTCTTTGCAGTTCACGGTTGAGGTTCTTCTGTCTAGTTCTTGTTTAATAATGTGTTGTTGAACATGTGTTGGCAGTCCAGGATTAAGACTCAATGCAAATGGTAATAATGTTTTCGGCAGGTTGTCAAAATCAATCATTACTTTAATAAAAATAGTATCATTTCGTACATACGGATTACCTTCTTGTTGAATCAGCGTCAATGGAAAGAATTTAGGTATACCACTAGCAATATTCATATCTGATCGTGGTCTCTGAAAACTACTCGATCGAATATCTGGTCGAAATGAGTCAATAATATGCCGCTGTTGAGGAGTTTGATCATATAAACAAAACGTCACTTTATAATTGAAGGGAAATTTTAATATTGGATCATTTCGACTACGCATTAGAACAAAAAATAATGAAATATGTGTCCGTCGAGCGTTGCCATCACCATTCAGATAAAGTCGAAGTCGCATTTTGTAGCCAATCGGTGATGAATAAAATGGAGGTGAATAAATCGATGGTTGCCGTTCTGATTGAGCATCCACTAGATATCAAACATAATCAATAATTTTGAACAAATTATTAAGAAAAAGATTTGAAATTGTACAGTTCGATTACAAAACTGAAAAGTGAATCATTAACTGTATTCTTCAACTTTTCATTAATTGCATTCGTGTGTTTTCACGCTAATTCATATTGTCATAAAGAGAAATTAATATTTTATTTTATGATGTATTGATGCCTTCAAAGTGTAATTGCCATATTATGACATAGTTTCACCTTGAACTAATTGGGGAAAAATCTTTTACATACTCATTTTCTCTTGAACTTTTGAAATTTTCCATACAAATATCCCATCATAAGATACATCTTGCGTATCATTAATCTTGGCTTCCAATGACATCAAATCTTGATTTAGAACTTCTAAATTTGGTATAGTTCCTTCGTAAAAAAAATTCTCTTCTTCAACGGATAATTTCAAATTTGAAACATTGTCTATTAAACGTTGTAGTTTATCTTCATGTTCAAGTAAGTTAGTATTAACTCTTTGTATATCTTCATTCAATGTTTCAGTACCGTTTGAAAATATACTGATAGTTTCTTCAAGCTCGCTCAACTGATTGAAAGCAAAAGCATTGTCTATTGTTGTAGTAGTTTGCGGAATATCAGTATCCATTTGATTACATGGCATTCGAGCGTCTCTTAACTGTAATATCATGTCTTGTATAACATTTAGTATTGAATTTTGATGTTGTTTACTTTGATAATGATGTTGCAATTCACAACGAAGAATCTAAATAAAATACGAAGATAAATATATTTGAAAATCTATGTTATAGAAGATATAAACTTGTTGATGGCAACCGAAATTTTTTAATAAACATTCGACGATGATCTTTGAGCATTGAAATACTTTATGTTGATTCAGTTGATTAACTGATTCGAATTGTTCATCACAATAATTACATTTTGGATTTTGATGAGATTGATCCAGATGTTCCTTTGTAAGATAAATATGAAAGATGAAAGTATAAAATTTTATTCATTGATATTACTTGATAATTTTTTAAGATACCAGTCCAACTACATTGAGAACATATGATAGCTAATGATTGCATATCATTTCTGAAACCTCGATCAAGCATTACCTAGAAAAACTTCCATATTAGATATTCCAGTCCCTTGAAAAAAAGCGATCTGTTACTTGATTTCGTGGTGTTTCTATGTGACATTGCGGACATTTGATTACATTTCTTTGAAAAGCAATACTTTAGTAAAATAATTTTTATTAACAAAGAAACTTACTGATTAAGAGTATCAAAGCAAGATGAACATAATCGATGTCCACACGTATTAAATTGAACTGGATCACATAGTATAAGTGAGCAAACACAGCAAGTAAATTTGGGATCCAGAATATTCTTATTGCTAGCGTCCATTGCAGTCAATCAGTAATATATCGAAAACTAAAATGGATTCTCATTTTTTTGAACTATGAGACAAACAAATCCAATATTGTCTATAAGGTGATAAAGATACAAGAGCGTGGATGGCGATCTTATTTCGTTCATGTTCACATCCACATTTATGCTGACACTTCACTTCACACTACCTTCGTAAGTAAAGAATTGAAAATACTGTTTATATAGGTTGCCATTGAAAGTTGATTTCATTGATTTCGCTAAAAGTTCCCAACGAAAATGAACTTTATTTTTATTGGTAATATCTAACTACTTTTGCGAAGTATTGGTTTGGAAAAATCCTCAACGAAATTCGATGAACAGTAAGCAGAATGAAGAAACTTCCAACAAAATCGGAACGAAACTTCATGATTATGAGCCATTATAATGCATTTCAAATGTAGATAATTGTTCATATTTTTGGGTCATATTTCGATTTCTAATTAAACTTGTTTTTCTTCTTTGTCACTGTAAATCAATTAAATTTCAACAATCAGTCAAAATAGTTATAAAAGTCTAGGTTTTTTCAGTAAGTCTTTTCAAAGTTATTATCACATCATGTTTTGAGAAGGGTGTGGGTGTAAGTGGGTGTGGGTGTGGGTAGGTGTGGGTGTAGGTGAGTGTGGGGTGTGGGTGTGGGAGGGTGGGTGTGTGAGTTTGGTGTGCGTGGGTGTGTGTGAGGGTAGGGGTGGGAGTGTGGATGAAATGGACTACTAAATTCATAAACACAACCCACACCCACCCACACACTCACACCCACCCACACACCCACACCCTCACCCACACCCACACCCCACACCCCACACCCACACCTACACCCACACCCACACCACCCACACCCCACACCCACACCCACCCACACTTAAAAATGATATGTGTGCGAGGCACAATAACATAATGTATATCTAAAGCTCGAATGTATACATTATTTTGTCGGAAATCACTTCGCTTTTACGTCTAACTGATAAACTGACAGTAGCTACCACAAATTAGATGATGATAAGTAAGAGCCACGTTGTTTCTTAAGAATGAACTTAAAGTCAAAAGTTGAGACGTCAAATTATTTTTCTTTCTTTATGCATACTATTTTCGATTTTGTGCTAACTTACTGAATGGACATAACAGAACAAAAAGAATGTGGGTGTAGATTTGGAGAACACTCATACATCTATATCCTTATTTAATTATATCCAAATATGAAGAGAACAGCAAGGTCTACAAAATTTACTCTTTCTACCACACTTTTGGTCAATAAAGGAAGTGTCTTTCTCAACATTGAAGAAGGAACTGTATTAATACCATAGTGAAGTTTTCATTACACATTTTAACCAGTCTACTCTGATTTTGCATTCTTCAAATCATGACGAAAAGAAACTTTCGTAGCATACCTTATGAAAGAAAAAAAAGGACGAAAGAAAAAGGTTTTGTGCTGTTTTACACAAATGTCGTGTCTCACATGGCAAAAAAAACATAAGAAAATACACGTACCTTTTACGATGCGTATCTGTGAAATGGTAGAAAAAGTTACGATCACTATGGAAGATAAATGCAATACAATTTATAGACATTGTTATCAGTGGGCTCTTTTTCATGTTGTATAGATTAATAATTTTTACTACAGTTGCAAAATAAGACTTGGTGATTTCTCAACGTTTATTAATCATAATGACGTCTGCTTTACTGTTGCAACGTGTTGTAAGAAGAATGTTGTTTTTATTCACACAGGTTTATGCTTTATTTGTTTCCCATTGCATGTGTGTGTGTCTTCAATGTTATTTTTCAGATGTAAATAATTGGCCATAATAGGAGGAAAAAAAAAATAATAACGCATCAATTCGAATGAGGGTGTGGGAAGGGGATGTGACTTAGGTAAATGGGTGAGGATGTATGGGTGGATATGGATGTGGTTGCGAGTGAAGAGAAGGCTTGCATGGAGTCTCCGCAAAAAACCTTACACCCACGTCCTCAGCGTATGACTCTCTTTCCAGTAAAGGGAATATTTCAGAAACGAATGAATAACTTCATTGACGTACAGAAAGAAAGTCGAGAATTCTATTCTTGTTCACTCTTCGACTTCGTTTTACTCATCGATTACAAGAAAAGCATAATACAATTAAATAATTTCTTTTACCCAGTTGTCGAATGCACTTACCAATTACCACAGTCAGTGTTTAATCAAAGTGTTCTTAATCTTATATTTATCAAGTTGGATATCGTTGGTCGATTAATTTTTTTCAGTAATATATTCAATGAAGTAGGAAAGAACAGTAATACGAGAAAGAGGAAGAGTTTATTTCATGCAGATTAGAAACAATTTGATATCTCCGCATAATACAGTTTTACTTTACTAAAAGAATGTATGCCATGAAATTCTGTCTTTGGCATATTTGACTGTGTTGTTATTCGATGAAAGAAATGACAAATTTCGTACTTTTTCTACATATAATGATATTTCTATCAGAACAAATCACATAATCATAATATAATGAGTGTCAGCACCTTACTCGTTAGAGGCATCAAATAATTGACCACACAATGTGACTCCTAGACAATCAAAATTGAATGCAAAATTTAGATCATCCCATTTCTCTGCAATAGGAAATGCATTACTTTCATTTCTTTGGAAAATGTTACTGAGGGGCAGATCAATCTGACCATCAACGTGCACGTTGCCGGTATCATACCGTGTTTTTAATGAAGTGCTTTTTTTGTCTTCTGAGGTTTATACGTTGCAATCGAAAATAAAAGAGATACAAAGCAAAAAAACTGTATCAACTAAAGAATTGAAACACAGACATAAAATAAATAAATTGAGATAAAAATTCTCAGGTTTTTTTAAATCAGTTATGACAGAAAGAAGAAGAAAAATAGTTGAGATATGTATATTTCCTTCTGTATCGTTCGAATGGGAATTATGTATCACAACTAAACAATTTATTAAGTCCATCTGATTCACTATCTTGTTGAAATTGTTGCATCATCAATGTACCACTGATTTGATGTAAAATTCTTGGATTAATTAGCTTACTCATTTGACTATCTAATTTTTGCACTTGTGTCGAATTAACATTTTTTGTCATATCTCCTGATTTAGATAAACCTTTAACACCAGTCATTTGTTTTATCATCTGTGAAAATTTTGAATATTATGTTATTAAATTTTGTACATCTCGAATTGAAACACCAGCGCTATGAACCACTAGGGAGTAACGACCAGATTACTTCTTGAATAATTTTGTTCCATCAGGATGATCACGCTCATTATCATTCATACTGTCCATAATACATATCATTTTTTTCAAACGTACTTGTGATTCTTGTTCACTATTTTTTGGTATAAATTCTGTACTAAATCCAAAAATCAGACTCATTATTTGTCCAAATGGACCCATTTTCATGATATTTTGAAATTGTTCATACATATTCCTTAATGTAAATTGACCATGTTTAAATTTTGTAAATAATTCTTTATTATTTCCTAATTTCAGATCATTGACTTTGCTAATTAAACTTTGCATATCAATCGTACCCAATAATTTACTAATAAATCGTTTCGTTTGAAATACTTCAAAATCATCAATATGTTCGCCAGTATCAACAAATATAATTGGATATTTCGTTGCAGCAACAGTACTTAAAGCTCCACCATCTTTAGCATTACGATCAAGTTTTGTAACAATAACTGAACCGACATCAACTTTTGAATTTAAAAGCTTTTGTCTGCAAGTCACAAGCTTGGCCAATACTAGCATCCATAACAAAAATGGTATTATCTGGTTGAATTCTATTTAAAATTTAAAGCATTTCTTCGAATAACAATCCATCTGGTGCATGTCGACCACTTATATCAACAACAATTAATTCAAAATTATCTTTACGAAATGTTTCAACATCGTCCATAGCAATGACTAATGGATCACTTTCTGTATAATTGCCATAAAATGGTATATGTGCTTTAGTTGCTTTTTGTTTCAATTGATCAAATGCATCAGCATGAAATGTATCAGTACAAACTAATGCTGTTTTCCAACCACGTCTCATATAATGATAAGCCTATTTTGTACATGCTGTTGGTTTTCCACTATCTTATAAACTAACAAACATAACAATATTAGATTTATTTTTAACTGGCTGCCATGCTTTAACTTCAGGATCAATAAGTCGAATAAGTTCTTTAACAACAGCAAATTGAATTAATCGATCTCGATTAAAACCAACACCTATTTCTTCTAAACTTATTGCTTGTTTGACATTTTCACGTAATTGTTTAACTAAACCAACATTAACATCAGCTTCTAATAAAGCTCGACAAATTTATCCCGAAATTTCATGTAAAACTTGTTCACCTATAATCGTTGCAATACTTAAATTTCTTATTGCTGATGAAAGACGTCGACTAAGATCAGCGAGACCCATGTTTAATCTATGTCTTGATAAGTTGTAATAAGCAACAACTTTTCTCCTCAGTTTGTGGAGCACGCCATCTGCCTTGCCTACACGCATTTGAATTCGCTACACAACATATCAGGGCTCCGCGTCGAATGGGATGGGACGAAAAACCCATCCCATGGGATGAGCTACCTCAAACCGTTCCATCCCATGGAACTTCATACTCGTCATATATTTAAAAAAAAATTTTCTGAACACATTATCTTCATTAATAATAGGTGGATCGATAGTCTTCAGATACCATGTTCCTTCATTTTTCAACCGATTGAGAGGACAAACAGAAATTTTAAAACTTTGAGCTAGCATCAGAATTATTTATTCTTTACAGACCTAAGTTCAAAATATGTTCGTGAATCGTAGGTTAGAAGTTATGAGTTAGTATTTGAAAGGTTTGAAAATAAAGTTTGAACGGTTTTAGTGTGGTAAAACCGTCTAGAGTCGAATAAAAATTTATTTTAAAATATCAAATGGAAGAGTAAACGTTTCTCTATAGAATAATATCCGGGCCCTTAAGTTTTTTGGGAAGCGTCTATCAACAACGAGAGCTTTAGCAAGAGTTATAATGCCAATTTTACAATTTCTAGGTTCTAAGAGTTACAAAATTAACTCGATTATTTCTGAAGCATTGCTGTATGATCGTTGATTGTTAGTGCACTTTTTATGGCATAGTGTTACCCTTCATGCTGTGCAAAAAAGTTGTCAATAAAGCGTATACTACAGAAGACACCGTTGCTGAGAGGACATTTAGTGTTTGCGCCCTGATCCAAAAAGCCATCAAAACTTGATGCAGATAAACACAAGGAAGTGAGCATAAGTGGGATGGATGTCTGTACAACAGAAGTACTAAAATGCCAAAAAACTGACTTAAGTTAGGAATCATGTCAGAAACGAAGACAAGCTGGGAGTCTATCACAAAATTCGGTTGCAGTTCATGATGTTTATGACATAGATAAATAGCCGTTTTCTGTATGCGATTCTTGTCGAATGAGTGAACGAAAATAATGATCGCGGAAAGAATGCATCTGATAAAGATCATCGGAAAAAAATCGGTGATCTCATTTTTGGAGATGAGCATTACATTCATTTCTTTTCTCTTTCGATTGTGCAGAAAACAAGTAATCGAGTTTTTCACTTTTTCTCTTAGATGATAAAAACAAGTGTATGATCTCGAGAGATGTAGACATGGGAGTGAGATGATTAAGTTGGTGAAGAGGACACCCACACCAGTCTTGACAAGTAATTCTTTAACTAACCTTCATATTCAAGATAGCTTTCGTTCTACAAAAGTCATACTATCTCTATCATATATAAATTTTCTGTGAACTTTAAGGAGTGTCTTTATTTCTGCTTTAAATGACAACAAAAATAGAAAAATGTTCGGCAAAAAGAGAATCTTTGTGTCGATTATCAAGTTTATTTTCTTTACCTAGTGTGCGCCATTCGAAAGAAAGACAATGAGATTCATCAGATTGTCAAAGGTCACATGACAAATGAATATTTCTCACTATAGTTCCATTCATCTACTCTACTCTCGTCGAAAAAAGAAAACGAGATTCATTCTATAATACTATATCGCATGAGAAATGAAGGGTGTGAGTACGGGTGTGGATGAAAAGATGAACTACACTCACACTATCACCCATTCACATCCTTGAAAACTTGTGCTACGTAGTTATTGACAGTCTCACTTCTATATACTAGATTCTAATGGCACAAACTTGATTCAACCAGATTTGAAGAAAAAATATGCAGCAATTTGTTTGTCTGCCATATAGTTTCAAAGATCCTTAGCTGTTCGTCAATAATTTTGTAATGATTTAACTTTCGACTAGCCCATTATATTTCGATCATTATAATAAAACTATGAGCTATGACTAGCGATAATCTAGAATACAATGCGACGATAAGTTTCTCGAAATATTTTCCGTAAATAAGGAGCTGATTGAATATGAAACGTTTGTCACATCAGTGATAGGTTGATAATAAACTCATCTAGCACGCGACTTTCTTAAGTCTAAAACAGGCAAGAATAATTAAAATAATCACTGATGAAATGATGTTCCACATGTCATCTATTTATTTCTATGGTTAATGAAAAAAACCATCTGAAATTATTGTTGCAATAGCATTACAACTTTGGTCAGTTTAAAAAAAATCAGAAATGATCTAAATAAGCCATATATTACACGAGTATAGTTTTCATTATAAATTAAAACAATTGACTAGTCATGTAAAATCAAAGTTTGAAAATGATTTCATAAAAATTGAAATTCATATATGAAATCTTTACTAAATGTCTCAAACGCGTGCATAAATAAAGAGATGATGATATATTTTAGGAAATGTATACAATAAAAATTTTGACGTTCCCTATGTATTTTAGATATTCATATTTAGTTCGTTTATCAAATATTCAAATAATGTTTTATCGAAAGAAAAAAAAAGTCGTTTTGTTTTTATTAATGAATGTGAGTTTTTTTTTTGCAATGTTAAAATCAAGTTTCTAAATAAGATAATTAAATCGAATATCATACAAAAAAAGACGTATTGTTTTATTTTATATGAATATAATATTTAAATAAATTCCAATCATTATCTTACTTTTAGAAAATAATCTTTATAAACTACAAAGCAATAAATTATACAGAATGTTTACAAAAAAAACATATTGAGCATATAATTAATTTATTGTCTTTGTAAAAAAAAAAAAGAATTGATTTTTTCCCTCTATTCTGAAAAAATTCGAAAACCTTTGACAAAAAACATTATTATCATAATTAACAAGATCATTAACTATAGGTTACAAGCTAAATTTAACGAGAGAAAAAACAGTCAGGTATCATTTATTTATGTGTACTAAAATGGTATGTACCTTGTCCGTGTAAATAACCTTGTCTATATGATTGAAAATCAATGATGCGCTACAGTTGTTTGTTTTATATCATAAATAAAAAGAAAAGCATCATTTAAATTAACTAATGACAAAATCTATGACATTGAAACATCTATCTCATTTGACGTTTTCAAGGTAACTATTTTTCTTTGTGCTAGATTTAAAATATTTTACCAAAATATGAAACAAAAATAGGAACATTTTTCGACCTATTTACAAAATTATATTATTCATTTATTCGATAAATTAAATAACTAGTTAATGAAAAAAAATAGATTACATTTTATTTTATTTCGAAATATTTCTAATAATAATTAGCTTCAAATAATGAAGAGAATAACTTTGACATAAATAAATATATAGTATTTCGTTGTAATTACAGTTAGAATAAAGATAAATTCTCTTCGTTTGATTTCTATGTCGATTAGTTCATATTGTTTCTTTTTTCTAAAAGTCACATTCAAACACAATTAAATTATTAATTTTAATTTTGATATCATATTGAAATAAGATCTCATTTAATCATCATTATTTTGTAGAATTGACATATATTTTCGAAGAAAATAGTAAGTTCAAGTTTTCCGGCTTTCCCTTCATTCCTCAAGCAACTTGGGACAATCGACATCAGATTCATTGCTAAGAGTTGCTGAGCAACGAAAAACAGCCTTGAACAATTTGACTTAAAGTGTTCTAGAATATTGTAGTGTTTGAGTTTTGCATATATAAATGATCGGTTATCTTGGAAACGAATTACGGGCTATCAAAGGTTTTTTTACTTGATATTTTTTTTTTGTATTAATTTAATGAGACTAAGAAACAAACGTAAGATTCAAATTTCAGCCGCAAAAAGCTGTGCTAACAATCTTTTGTTAAATCGAAAAAAATTTATTTTTCAATATGCTCATCATGTTTCTTTTTTTTATTGAAATTTTTCAGTAGTGTGTTCTCAAAGAATTTTTCTCAAAAGAGAAACAAATGTACGCATAAAATAATTAGTTCGTATTCGAATTATTTTGTTTGAGTCTAGAATAAAAATACAAACATCTAATTAAGTATGTATCTATTTTATCTGACAGAGCAATCTCACTACTTTATGTTTTATTTATGCATAAAAAATCAAATATATTTGACATGTTCGAATCTTCATGTTAGTATAAGTTAGAAATCAATCTTTTTATTATTCAAACTTGTTAGAAGATAAATGTGCTCGTTAAAACTTCACTCAGACCAATGAATCTCATTATAAAAAAAAAACACAGTGTTCTTGCTATTAACGTCTTTTTCTACCTTGCCATGTTAACATTAAAAATACATTAGAATATATTGAATATCGAAAACATAATCTAATATTTATCTTTGACATATTATCTTTATATAATAGGAATGCAAAACAAGAGAGAAAAGTATTTTTAATGTCTGACCCTTGTATAAATCATTGTTTTTATCGATATTTGTAAGTAAGACTAACATTCTATAAAATAAGAATATTAATATTGATAATCGAATGTAAATTATTTCTGAATAAAAATGTTTAAAGCAACAAATTCAATTTAAGTTGAAATAAAGATTTTTCAAGATTGACTAAGTAAAATTTCGAAAAACTGAATAAAAAATTTATTTAAAATACAAAAGCATTGACTATATTCAAGAAAAATTAATTTTTTTTATTATGAATTATTTAGCAGAATTTCTTTTTGTTGAAAAAGATTCAAATAATTTGTATTTGTTCACATAGTTAAAATATATTTTAAATTTAATTTTAGTTAATTAAAATAAACAAATAATTTTTTTTTTTAAAATGCATACAAATCGACGACGAAAAAATGAAAATAAACAAAATGGAAATGCTGATAGAATGGGTACAAATGTTTATTCATCAAAAGATAATCAAAGTATGCATAAATCATTAAATGGAGAATTTATTCTTTATCAAATATTACTTGAACAAATTTCCGATAAAAAACAAGCATTAAAATTTAATGAAAATAATCTTGTAGAATATTTTCAACCTGATGATACAAATGATATACAAGTAATGAAAGAATTTAATGAAGAATATAAATCAGAAAAAGCA